TTCCGCGGTGATTCCCGCCGAGACGCCGCCGGCTCCCTCCCCGCTCCCACGGGCAGAGCACCCCCGAGGCCGCGGAGGCCCTGCGCCGCTGCGGCCCACGCACAGCCCTCGGTGCCATCCGCGCTGCTGCAGCCGGGCTGGTCTGAGGTTGCCGAGGTGTGTACCACCCCCTAGCCCCACAGCCTTTGCCTCTGTTCTTCTGGATCGTGCCAGGAACTGAGAGGCGAGCCGGACTGGGCGGCGGGGAGGGGTCCGGCGTGGCTCCAGGGTCGGTACTCCGCAGTACACACCTCTGGGCAGGGGCCGGCGGCGGGGACCGGAGTTCTCCTGCAACTGAAAAAATAGGAACAAGAGGTTTATCGATTTGGGGCTCGCCTGCACTTCTCCGCCTGCCCCCAAAATCGACGTGCACCCATCTGCGTAAGGAGGCACCAAGTACGGTTGTTGTCGCAGCGTGGATCCGGCAACAGCTTGTTACCTTCTGGAGTGCCATTTGCCTGCACACACACACGCACACACACTTATGCGCGAATATCTCCTAAACATCTTGGTCGTGCCTTGCAGGGCAGGAACGGGCAGAAAGCAGAGAGCCCAAGGTGGCTGCTCGACGTGGCTCTCACGGTGGGGTTTGCAGAGCAGAAAGGACTTCTGGAGAAGGGCGGAGAGGCTCTGAAGTCACCTGCGGCAGATCATCGGGGCCTGGGGGTGAGGGGCGGCGGAGGCAGAGGCCGAGCAGTCACGTACCTGCTCGTGATGCGTCCGTCTGCGAGCACAGGGCAGTTGGTTCCCGCCCGTGCCCGGATTCCGATGGTGTGTGTGGCCGGCGCCGAGGCAAGAGGGAGGAATACTGCTGTGGATGAGGGAGCCACTGGGAACAAGCTGAAAAACGGATCTACATCGGTTAGCAAGTTCCAGAGCGGGGAGCATTTGGCAACGATCTTAATTTCCATTATTTGTGTCAAATACAATATTATCAGAGACTACTGCAGCACTTACTGTAAGTACTGAGGGAAAGTATTACACACAGAGTGGAATCTCCGGGCCTTGCCAAGGGACGGTTAAATCAGATCTACTTTCCAACAGATCCCTCGCAGAGGCCTCAGTCTCGATGGGGGCGACCTTGCACTCCTCCCTCGCCACTAGTGCCAAAAGAGAGGGAGCAGCTGAGAGCAAGTGAGGGCCTCGCACCCCACTTGGATCCTCCGGAATCGGGGACGGAGTTGGTCCTAGGTACTTGAAACGAGCCTACAAAGACGGGGTATGCACCAGCCGACACCTCGCTGCCCCCAGGGGTGCCTCTCGCGGCACCAGAAATACAAACAGGACCAAAGGTGAGGTCCAAAGGAGCTGCGGGTGGGGAAGGTTTGTGAGGAGAGCAACTTTAGGGCCCGGGAGCTGGTCACGGAGGGCTCGGGGCTCGGCTGGATACCCGGGCTGCGCTGCTCGCCACAGTCCATGCCGGTGATGGCCGAGAGGGCACCATATCCGAACCTTCTAAACAAGGCGGCGGGAAGGGCACAGCGTGCAGACATGCAAGCTAATCATATTTGAAACCGGGAAGGGAAGGGGAAACTTCTTTCATAGAGGATGTGGGAAGGGACTTAACACAGTCCTGCTTGAGAGAAACGTTATACATTATGCTTGAAAAGAAATAATTTTTAAAAACCTAATTAAAAATATATAAATCACCCATCAGAAACAAAGAAATATGTGGAAGGAAATGTTTCTGGATAGAGACACTGTGTGTGGCATGAAAGACGATTGAATACATAAGGGCTTCATTAAATTCCCAATAGATAACATTTGTCTAAATCTATCCCTAGATTAAAACTCCGCATAATGGCACCATAAACTAAAAAGTTTCTTTTTGTGTGGTCCTTCTGGAGGAACTGATTGAAACATTAGCCCCCTCACAGAGCAATCCCCTCCTAATTCAGATTCAGTAATTTGTCTCTCAGCCCTACGGGGATATGATGAGCAAGGAGACGGGTTAATGAATCCACACTTTTTTGCTGGGAGGAGGAGAAGGGGGCAACACTATGCTCCCTGTCCTACCAAATTGTTTATTAAGGCCCAAACTCTTTTGGAGGAATTGTTCGTCCGCGCTCGGTCCCTGGGAGGACTACACATCCTCTCTGTCAGCCTTGAAGCCGTGCAGAGCACGGCGGGCCATTAGCATGCGAATGGGGCACTGCGGCCCGGCGGTGCTGCGAGCTCATCAAAGGGCTGCGGGGCCGGCGCCTTTTCTGGTGGCACCTGCTCCGAGGCAGAGACTTGGGAACAGGGGCCGCAGGGACTGGGGCCGAGGACGGGCGGCTTCCCCGTCGACTCGAGGAGAACAGGAGAAAGGATCCTCCACCGACGCCATAAACCCCGATCCCCTTTTCCTTAAAGGAAAAAAAAAATCTGCTCCACGTACTGCAAATTGTTCCTGCCAGCTTCCCTATCAGCTCCCAGGGAAAGGCCATGTCAGCACGGGATGCCGGCAATCGGCGAAAAGAGTGGAAGAAACAAGTGGCCAAGCAGTTTCCTTGCCATGTACCTCTGAGAAGACCTGAGGGACAGGCGGCGGGCAAGCTCGGACCTCGCCGCCCGCCGGGCCAGGCTCTGCGCAGAGGAGGTCACTGGGTTCCCCAGAGTCTGCTGAGGGGAAGCCAACAGAAACCAACACAGAGTGGGTCACCAGAACCTGCTCTTCCCATGTGAATGCTCGTGGAGAGCTCGAGGACTCGAAAAGCCAGAATCCAGACCAATGGCCGGCAGCGTCCCTCCTCGGGGAGCCTGGCACCGCCGCGCTCGTTTGCTACAGCTGCCTTCACCCCGGCAAAACCCTTCCCTGCTTGATTTTATCTGACTGTGCGAGGGGGGCCTCTGCCAAGCTCGGTACCCCGCGCTGGACCGGTCCTAGGCCCGGCGCATCCCCGTGGCCAGTCCCGGGGAAAGCGAGTTAATTGTTCTCTCGTGAAAAAAACACGCTATCACCGGTATGTACACGGTGCCTCTGGGGTATTTTCCCTTTAGTTTTAAAAATGAAAAGGGACTCTACTGCTTTGTCGCCTAAGGGACTCGGGACACCCAAAGGAGCCTTCCAGTTGCAGACTGCAAATGGAGCCCAGCAGAGATCTTACGTCCAGTCTTTCTGCTTTTAGAAAGCTACTAATTTAACACTGCATTGCTAGAAACAAAACAGGAAAGCATCACTTTTCTAAGAAAATACTTAAAACCAAGGCGACGAAGTATTTCGATGTGTAAATGCATGTATTTATCCCACCTTTCTCTCCTCACCTCAAAGAGCACTAAAAGGCATCCCTACCTTTTATAATTTTTTTTATTAAGAAAATTCACATAATTGATCCCCGAGTCTCCTAAATTGTTATAAATACAGTCGTACTTGAAAAGAGCCTCCCTGGTTGGAAAAACGTGTGTTCTTAGTCCACAACAAGTAACCACATGCCTACTGCTAAAATATGTGTTTCTCTTTTCCGTGCCCAAGTTCTGAATATTTGAGGCCAACTTTGTGATTAAAAAATTTTTAGTCCATAAAATAGATATCTATCAACCTTACGCTGTTAAAAACAAGTGTTTGGAATCAGAAAAACTGCTTTCATGGTTTGTTCCATATACTTATATATCCTTACTTCAACAGTGTATACACTTAGGCAACTCGTCACACAAGAATATTCCAAAGCTCATTTTATATTATATGTATTGAGAAGTAGAATCACAGGCCACTATTATCATCACAGAAACATAAGTCTCTAGGGCAAATCTGTCTTAAGTTCAGGACATGCCTCTTATTATTAGTATTTTCCTTTGGGTCTCTTGGAAACCAAACTGTGATGCAGTTGTGATTTAAAACACACCCAAAAGTATAAAAATAGTTTTAAACCGGTTTTTTAATCAATCCCCTGATAGGTGCCTTACAGAGAGACTTAGTTCTATTTATCCCCTCTTTCGTCCCTGATGTTTTTTGCAATCTTTTGTTAATTTTTGTTTTGTTTTGTTTTGTGTTGGGGTGGGGGTTTTGTTTGTGTTCTTTTTTTTTTTTTTTTTTTTTGGGGGGGGGGGGGTTTTTTTTTTTTTTTTTTTTTTTTTTTTTTTTTTGGGGGGAGGAGTGTCTATCATTATCTGCTAGGGTTAACAATGCACTGACTGCAAAGATCAGACTCTGATCTTCTTTGTGGTCAAATCCAGACATAATAAATTTCAAGCTATAATATTCTTTGACTATTGTACTATTAATCCCGAAGAAAAAATTATCAATGTCTCAGAGAAATGAGAAGTATTAAGGAGGGAAGGATCCAAAGCCAATTATTTAGCTGGACTCCTTTGGTCTTTGAGTTTGGTTTTGATTTTTTTTTTTTTCAAAATTAAATTTTTTATTTTTGAAAATGTGTAAAAATTTTACATTAAAATGGTACAATAATACTTGCCAGTAATTTTTAACAATATTCCTTGTAAAGAATACGCATAAAGTACAAAATAAAAAACTCCGTAAGTCTATTATAATACAAAACACAGGTTAAAATAAGAAATGATAATCTTGACTTTCTTCTGTGTAAACACGTTAATCTTTTCTTTTATAAAAGTACATGAGACAAGTGTACTAAAATGAAAAAGTATTGCTCTGATGTCCTCCCTCAAGCCTTTTTTTTTCCTGTACATTACTGTTTTCAAGCTCCTAGACCTGAGAATCTCTGAACTTTTACGGTTTAGAGATATTATTTATCTTTTTTTTTTTTTTTTTTTTTTTTTTTTTTTTTTTTTTAAAGGAGTAAGGAATAACTTTCCGATGTAGTTACCGCCTGCCCGTGCACTATCTAGATCTAGACCTGGCTTTGCACTCGTGCAGGTCCCGGGGGGTCCGCCGCTCGCGGCGGACGCCCTCCGAGCCCCGTCACAATATCCCCACGCAAAGACAGGCAGCCCCTGCGGGCGGCGTCCGAGCGGTAGAGAAAGGAGATACCCCAGATCCTACCTTCGGAAAGACTCTCAAACACTTAACAGTTAGAGATCCGTGCCGCGAAGCCGGGGACGGCGGGCAGGGCGGCGGCGGGGGGCAGGCCGCCCCCGGCGCTCCCCAGCGAGCGGGCCAGCCCCGGCGCCGCGGCAGACTGCGAGGCGCAGCTGCTGCCCGCGCCGGGGCCGGGCCCCCCCCCGATGATGCTCTCGATGGAGAAGGGCGAGCGGGCCAGCGCTGCGCCGCTGCCGGGCTTGGCGGAGTGCAGCGAGGCCTCCAGCGCCGGGCCCAGCGGGTGCGCGTAGCCGAAGGGCGTCCGTACCAGCTCCGCCGCCGGCAGCAAGGGGCCCGGCGGCGCGGCGGCGGGGGGCAGCGCCGCACCAGGGGCGCTGCCAGGGGCGGCGGGGGGCTGGCGGGGCGGCGGGGAGGGGTGGTGGAAGGCGAAGAGAGTGGAGTGGGGAAGGTAGGGCTGGAGCTGGAGACCGTAGCCGCAGCCGTAGGGTCCGTAGGTGCAGGGTGGCTGCTGCGGAGGCTGTGGCGGGGGCTGCGGGAGGAAGGCGGCGGGGTCCACGGCGCGCAGCAGAAGCTCGGGCGCCGGGAGCTGCTGCCGCTTGAAGCGCTTTCGGCGGCGCAAGAAGCTCCCGTTGTCGAACATGTCGGCAGATTCGGGGTCCAGCGTCCAGTAGTTGCCCTTGCCAGGATTGCCGGGCTCCCGGGGAATCTTGACGAAGCAGTCGTTTAGGGAGAGGTTGTGGCGGATGCTGTTCTGCCAGGCGGGGAACTTCTCTCGGTAGTAGGGGAAGCGCCCGCTGATGAACTCGCAGATCTCACTGAGCGTCAGCCTCTTCTTGGGGCTCTGCAGGATGGCCATGGTGATGAGGGCGATGTAGGAGTAGGGCGGCTTCACCAGGCTGTTCTTGCCGCCGCCACCCGCCCCGCCGCCGCTGCCGCCGCTGCCCGCCCCACCGCCGCTCGCCGTCGCCTTCTGGGGGCCACCCCGCGAGGGGGACCAAGAGCCGCCAGCACCGTCCCCGCCGCCCGCCTCGCCGCCGCCGCCGCCACCACCACCTCCGCCTCCGTCGCACACGGACGACCGCGGCAGCAGGGCGGCGTCGTGGAGGTCGCCCACATCCTCCTCGTCTTCTTCCTCCTCCTCCTCCTCCTCCTCCTCCTCGGCGTAGGAGCGGCGGCGACTGCGGGTCTGCGGCTCCTCGTCGTCCTCCTCGTCGTCCTCCTCGCCCACCACATCGATGTCGGTCTCCTCAGCCAGCGCCGACGCCTCGGACATCTCCGAGCTCAGGGTCATGGCGCGGCGGCGGGGGAGCGCATTGGTGGCGGCCGGCGCGGCGCGGCGGGCGGGCGGGCGTGCTCCCCGCCGCCGCCAGGCCTCCGCGCCGCTCCGCGGAGAGCCGCCCCGCCGCCGCCACTGGCAGGCGGGCCGCTCCGAGCTGCGGCGGCCCCCAGCGCCGCTGCCGCGTCTCGGGAGCGCTCCCGCCGTTCGCTCACAGGCAGCGGCTGGCTTGGGTTTTGTTTCGGGGTATTTTTCGCTGCTGTTTGGATTTCTCTGTCTGTCTGTCTCTCTTTTCCCTCCCCTCCCCCTTTTTGGGGATCCTTCTCGTTTTTTTTTTTTTTTTTCCGTTGGGGTCGGGGTTTGTGGGCGCAGGGGGGCTGTGCCGCCGCTCCTGGAAGTCAGTTCCCCCTTCTTTCTCCTCACCTCAGACCCCAGACATTAATGGATGCGGGGCAGGAGGGAGTGCGCCTAGTCCTGGGAGGAGGAGAGGGGAGGAGGCTGGCGAGGAGGGAGGGCGTAGGGGACGGCTTGCCGGGCCTTAGGAAAGACAGTGAAAAGGCTGGGGCTTAGTCCCAGAGAGGGCAGCCTTCCTCCCCGCCTTATAGCGGGGGGGCCATCACATGGCTCCCAGCGTCAAAGCGCTGCGGGGCGAGCGGCGCCGTTTCCCCCCACCAAGAGGAGCGCCTTGCGACCATCCTGGCCCCCCGTCCTCACCCACTCCAGGAGGGGCTCTGGGGGGCCGCGGGGCGACCGGGGCCATCTTTAGTGGAAAAGGGGGGAAATAAAGATAACACATGATCCCTGCGGGGAAAAAAAAAAAAAAAAAAAAGCGCGTAAGTTTGTCTCAAAGAGCTGAAGCATCTTCCCAAGAACCGTTCGGAGTGGTCTAGGAGCTTCGCGTCTTCCAAGGCTGCTTCCCGAGATGGGGTGTCGCTTCCCGTGGGAAGAAGGAGAAAAAAAAAAAAAAAACTCAGGCCGGAGAGGGAGGTGGTGAGTTAATAAACTTCTGTCCGCGGAATGGTTTAGAGACACCTCTCTCCCCTCCTCTCCCCCTTCCCCCATCCAGAGTTAAACTTATTTGAGAATGAAATAAAATATCTCTCCAAGTGGACCTCACAAGCTCTCAAAGAACAGCCTCCAAATCACACCGCTACTCTCAGTTTATTTGTAAGGCTATTGTTTTTAAAGGGAGAGAAGCAGCTTCCTCCATTATGGAAAACACTAACAGAGACATAGAGTTACCGCTTTAGTCTGCAAAGGAAAACAATTCGCCGGCCTTTAAAATGCGAATTTTGCTCAAAGTAGGAGCAACATCCCTGAGAAACCGACACAGAGGATTGCTAGCTAATTAAGTCGCACCATTCCTCGTTTCAGGTGTTCCATGAGACGACAGAAAAGCGGCCCTCCCGTTATGTGAGGGGAAAAAAACAACCAAAACCCCACCAAAGAACCCAAATAAAACAAAACCCCACAAACTTGGAGAGAAATGCAATTACTGTGATCTTCAAAAGCAGAGCTTTGAAAAATCCCATCGTTCCCAGGATGTTCTGGCCGGTTAAACCACAATGGGATTCGACTGGGATAAAAGTAGAGGAGCATTTCGTTCTTCTGCATAAATCATCCTGAGAAGGGTGGGCTGATGCATAGATTCTAACTGATCAAATATCACTTTTCAAACAAATTACACACTCCACTTCTTGAAATACGTTCTCGATATGTTGTCTTAACCCGAAACTACAAGCCACTCTGTTTCAAACCCATTTCCATGGATTTACAACATAATCCTTTCTACTATTTCCAAATAATCCTATTTACATTTTGTTCACTACTAAGACGCCTACAGGAGAACCACCAAATGTTACAAAACAGGAAAAAAAAAAAAAAAGTAAAAGGGAAAAAAAAAGTACCCCCAGACCTAATAATTTAATATTTTTTTTCTGTAGAAATATTGATGCCACTCGAGATTTACAGTTCATACAGTTCACAAAATGCTTCTTCGAATTAGTTTTGAGGTCTTAGGGCAAACTACTAAAAGAAAGGCAGATAGGATTTTTTCTCTTCAAGAGGTTACTCGTCTTGACGAAGAATTAGTGTTTTTCGGTTTTACTCCCCCCCCTCCCCCTTTTATTCTTCATCTTCTCCCAGAAATTTAAAAAAAAATCTTTAAAACAAAAACCAGCCTCTAGAGTATGAAAAACAGTGGAGTTTAAATATTACATGGGAAAGAACCGCTGTAGAGACAAACCAAAAGAACTGGGTCTGCCCTCGATCTGCTACTATCACTCACGCAGGATGCACGGGTGTTTCACTGAGCGAGTGACAGCAGTGGCTCTTCGGTAGCACCGGGGGCCCGGGGCCCCGGCTGGATGTGGCTCCTCCTCAATGTGGCCGACGGGGGTGGTCTCGGAGGGTGACGGTGGGTAACCCCCCCGGAAGACCTGGGCAGTATTCCCAAGCCCCCGCCTGTTGATGCAAGGTGTGTGGTGTGTGTGTGTGTGTGTGCGTGTGTGTGTGCGAGGGCTGCTCAAGGGATTCCTTTCTGGGGGTCAGTTGAACCAGCATCCAGTGCGGACAATTAAGATCTCGTGTTAGTACAGCTCCTGGTGGCGACTTGTCTCTGAGCATCTTCCAGTCGCTCCCGTCCCAACCCGGCAGGTGCCGTCTTACAAGGGCAAGAAAGAAAAGACAAACGAGCAGCGGCGGCAGAACCACGAGTGGCATTTCCCGTGGTAAGACCTCGCCGTCCCGTGGGCTTTGCCCTGCCCCCCACCTCGCGGCCGATCCCGCTCCGCGCCGCTCCGCGCTCCTCCGGCCCCGGCGCTTCTCTGCGCGGACGGGGGATGCCATCTACCGGCAAGGAGCGCCGGCTCTGGTATGGTGTGTGCCGGGCAGGGACGTGTGCCAAAAGGAGCCCGCAGGAAGGGCAGGGCCGGGCAGAAACCCCGCATTTAGGGACTGAATGGGACCCCGAGAATTCTAAGGAAAAGAAGCGTTTTGGAGGTGCCCTGAGAACACTCCCCTTCATGGAATGGCTGGAATGTCCATGACCACGTTCCCACCTCTGCCCCGGGGCTCTCTGTCCACACACCCAGCCTTGAAAGGACCACCCTTGGCCCAGGACCTCAGCGGTTGCCTTCCGTGGCTTCCTGCTGGTTGTGAATGATGTGACATAACATGCACTTAAAACCACAGTAGCACAGTAGCCAGACCAGGAGTATTCTGGTTCACATGGTATGTCCAGGGACACCGGGCAGAAGCCAGGCTGGGTGGACCTGCCATGACTTCCCCTTGATTTCTCCATTATTATGGGAGGCAGTATCCCTTGGGAGCTCCATAGCACCCCAGGCCACACATCTTTCTGCAGCTAGGGAGCCTATGTCCAAGAAGGGCACACAAGAGCCCATGCAGGGAAAAAGGAATAGATGACCCCACATACCTTCCCTGGTCATTTATTCAAAATCAAAGAGCACCCTGGGCACCATTTAGGGCATTTGCAAACAGCCACACTTGCACAGTGGCTGAGGTCCCTCAAGTTTTCTGGAACTGCCCCTGACCATGCAGAGGGATGCCAAAGGCTTCCTCATCACCATATGGGTCAGATGTCTCGTGGTGATGTGCACCCCTGGGTGTTGAGTGCTTGTCTAAGTGCAGCCAGTGGAAATCAAGGCAGAGCCTGGCATTACTGACATATGCTGGAGCTGAAGAGCCTTTCCTGGGCCTTCTCAGCCTTGAAAGTCTCCAACACCAAAGGCTGCAGTTCTCCACATCGAGATCCATGTCTTACCTGCAGGACCAGACTTCATGTTATTATATAAATAATAATTTATTGAATAATTTACATTTTCTATGTCGTGCCTTAGGCCAAAGATTGGACTGAATTCTGAGCTGCTTGTGCCACGGAAAGAATAAATCTCCAGTGATGACCTTGCAACAGGATGGTTTTGTCTGTGACAAGGACAATGGCAGTGACAGTTGTGGTTTTCTTTGCCCAGTATAACAGTGACTACCATTTTAGCTCCACTTTTTTATGGGTTTATCCTCCTCTTCCCTTGCCATAGAGCTTTGAGGAAGGTAACACTTTCTTTAAGGCTTCTGCAGAGGCTGGGATTAGAATGTCTGTGTGACCACAATGCATTGTGAGGGTTGGCAGCAGTCACCTGAAAAACAAAAGAAAAATCTGTGGCTTCCAGTCATGCCTACTACTGAAAAAGAGTTTGTCACCCTTGGAGATGACCCCCTACTCCTCTTTTCAAACATATTTTTCTTCTTGGTCAAGTTTGTTTGCTTGCTTGCTTGGTTGTTTGGTTGGTTTTTTTGTTTGAGTTTGGTTTTTGGTTTTTGTTTTCCCTCCTCAGATTCTTGTAGGTCAGTACATTTGCTCTGACAAGTGAAAATCACTTCTTTTAAGGTGCTTTGCGTTTTTAATTTCTGTAAAATGTGATTTTATGTTCTCACAACCCTTCTGAATTTAAGACAGCTTTTACCAGTTTAGACCAAGACTACTCTAGCAGCATAAGCTGACTTCAACATGAGCCAAGACCATATGTCTAGGGAAGAATATAGGAACAGAGCAAGTGTGTAAAATTGATTTGTACTGCCCCAAATCTAGTTTTCAGGTTTGGGGTTGTTTTTTAAGTCAGAGATAATATCTGAATTTAATAGCCTCCTATGGGAGTTTCTTCTGTGAATTTGTCCAGTCACCTTTTATGACTGGACATGAAATCACGTACTTTTACACAACTAAACATATTCTGTGGTAGAATGTTCCCCAGCTCTAACCATGTGTGGTATGAAGTGTCTCCTTTCATTTGCTTTAAGCAAGTCACCTGCTCATTTATTCTGATGTGCTCTCATTTTTTGTACTAGAAGAGAGAAGGAATAACTGTTGTAAAACACCTTCTCCCTGCTGTTCATGGCTTTGTACATTCTGTGACAATTTTTTTTTTCACTGGTTATCTCTTTTTCGGGCTGAGGGATTCTGCTTTGGAATCAATGGATTAGCACAGAAGTAATTCTGTACTCCTGACAATCCTC